GAATACAATGCTAACAACTCCACTGATGAATTCATAATGTCTATACATTGGATTTGCATATAAATATATCTCTTATCTTACAAACTTGTTAGATCAGTTATGGTATGAGATTTTTATGAAGAAAAGCAATTGGGCTGTGGTGTGGGTGGGTGTACAAGGTGAGGGTAGTGGGAAATAGGTAGACTTTCCATTCATACAGAGATATCATTATTTGAATTGTTTCCATTGATTTTTAAGTCTGATACTGCTGTGGCCAGGGTGGCTCAGTTGGTTGGAACGTCATCTCATAAACCCAAAGTTTGCAGGTTTGATTCCTGGTCAGGGCACATGCCTAGATTGCAGGTTCCATTCCCAGTTGGGCAGTGACAGGGGGCAACCAATAGATGTTTCCCTCTCAAATTAATGTCTCCCTTTCCCCTGTTCCTCTCCTCTCCCCCTTTCCCTCTCCTCTCTCCCTCTCTTTCCCTCCCTCTGCCTCTCTCTATAAAAGCAGTGAAAAAATGTCCTCAGGTTAGGGTTAAAAAAAGTCTGATACTAATGAACATTCATGGAAAAGTATAAATATGTTTTTAAAATACCTAATTTTGTCCTTAATATATAAATTGTGACCTTAATTTTAAAATATTTAAATAATATACAATGAGAAAAAAGGGGGTGGTTCCAATAATAATTTGTCATTAGTTCCTCTTAAGATGTTAAACTATTTTCTAGTTCAAATACTCATTTTTAGTAAATAATTTTTAAATGAAAGCTAACTACAGAATAAAATGACTATATAAACAGTTTACCAAATAAAAGACAATATCATTTTCCAATATTTCATTTTGCTATTAAAAGCCCAAGATATGACATTCACTTTTTAAAACAACATCAATATTTGGCCCAGAAGTCTGTTTATATGAGAACTTGTTTCATTTGCCATTTATTCCAATGACTTGAGAACAATTATTTGCAACTAAATCTAACAGCATTTGCACAAGTGTTTTCAAGCTAAAATACTGCTAAAAGTTCCAACACACATCAAGTAGATATATTTACATAATAACATATATTTATTATAAAACCTGTCACTCTAAGCATTTTATAGAATGTGAATACAAGTCACTCTACCTTATAATGAATTATAGCCACAGCTGAGGGGAGATGCTGCTGAGCAGAAGAGTTCTGTGTTCAATTGAGTTCAAATGGGTTGGCCACTCAGACTGTTCAGGAATGCTAGTGCACCAGCACAGAATTGCTTGATAGCTCAATTCAAACAAAACTGCAGCAGATTTTCAAGTATAAGCCCTTAGCAACCAAGAAACTGTAGTACAAGCATTAACAAGACACACTCTTACTGTGCAGGTGGGCTCTGCTATAAGCAAGTTGATATTGAAAATCCAAATACACAAAACATAAATTAGGGAGTGATTATTTGTGTTATAAAATGGGTTTCTGGCTATAAAAGGATTCACAAGTTTCCTCTAAATAGTAGCTTCCTTAATGCATTTAAAATACAATTGATTTACAAAACTTCAATTTACACATGACTTTTTCATGACCATAGTGAGAAGCAAAGTACACTTAAATACAGTACTTAATTTCCTCTCTCAGGATTTAGGTATCTCATCATTGTATTGGTTAAAAAAAAACAAAAAAAACCCCACACACAAGCCAAAATGCTATCTGCTAAGCCACTGATATGTAAAATAAATACTGACCCTAAAACAAGGATATCCCAGAAAGTTTAAGTAGGTTTCTTATTTTGTATTTATATTTTGGGGACTCATATTTACAATAATCTTTAGATAGCACACATATATAGCTATCTTAAGGCCATAATATTGGGCTCTGTTCTGCAGAAATGTGTTTTGTTTTAGTAGGTTTTTTTGCCTTTTTGGCTGTGTAAAGAGATGTTGATGATGGTTACAATGTAGCTAGTTTATTTTTTAATATTTCATTTATTTATTTCTAGAGAGGGGAAGAGAGGGAGAGAAACATCAATGTGTGCTTGCCACTTAAGCACCTCCTACTAGAGACCTGGCCCACAATCCAGGTATGTTCCCTGACTGGGAATCGAACTGGCATCCCTTTGGTTCAAGGCCCAGGACTCAATCCACTGAGCCACACCAGCCAGGCCTAGCTAGTTTATTTATGATATAACAGTTTATACTTCATTTCAAAGAATCATCTTTAAAAATGCAACTTCCTGCGTTTCATTACTGTTCCCACCATTTAATTTAGGTAATTGTCATTTATATCCCTTATTATCACTAAACTCACCATGGGGAATGGATATAATGGGGTAGGGCAGAGATCCTGTCTACTGTATCTCTTTGCCCCCTCAGCAAGCAGCACAAATAGTGGCATCTAAGAAGTAAGCACTGAATAAATATTCACTGAATTAATGAAGAAATGACTGGATTGAGAGAAATGTCCAGATAGCATGCAATCTAGTATGTATTTGAAATATTTACAATTAAAATGAATTTCCAGAATCTGAAAAATCACAGAAACTCTCTCTTGTTCCTTATACACTTTTGGTAAAATTCATAAAATATTGAGCCCTTGATGACATGGAAATAATTAGGATATTAAATCATCTTAGAAGTCAGAGCAAACCACAGGGTTACTTCCTTATTCACCAACTGCTGGAGTGAACTAACAAGGCACACAAGTTGACCAAATCCAGAACCAAATTTGACTCTTGGCAATGTGTCCAGACTGAGAAGTCATACTTTGGAGTGTTTCGATATCAATTTAGACACAGATATATTCAGAAAGAGTGAAAGCAACTAATTAAGAGTTACAATCAAAGAGAATTTCCATGTGTCATTTCTAGGGCAGACACAGAAATCTGTTTCAGACAGAGCCAGGAGAGATCACATTCTGTTGGTTGTAATCATTTTGCTCTGCTGATGCTTATACCTATTACAAGTTGTATGTGAAATAAAAGTGAAATAGTAAAATCCTGCTGTAGGAGATAAAAATAAAAATCCTAAAATAAAATATGCTTGAAAGCACTTGAGTGGATAGAGCAAAACAATGAAGTCAATGGGGATGTTGATCACTTAATAAAAGTAAAGTGTTTGTGATTGCATTAGAAACTAAACCTTCAAAGTATACAGTGTTTAATGCATTTAAATGAAATACTCTGGACCAAATTCAAATGATTTCATCTTAAAACCTAATACGAATAAAGCACAGATCTAAAAATGTAAGAATCTAGAATTAAATCATAATTATTAAGAGAGTTTATGAATCTCAATTCTTTCAGAAGGCCTCTCTAAACTCATGTGACTAAATGAATATTAAATTCTCTCTATTTAAAAATAAAAAATTGTTTTACCATGGATAATAGCATTTTATAGAAATGACTTTACATTCAGGAGAATCTGAACAAACACTGAAGTGGAATCATACATTGGTAGTTCTAGTAATATAATTTAAACCTAAAAACTATCTTGATAGAATACATATACAAATTTGTCTTCATAATCATTTCCGAAAATACTTACCTCTACATTCTGTATTTATTACTGCACCAAATGAAAGCAACCATAAGAGTATTTCTGCAACTCTTGTATATATACTTCACTCAAAGAATAGTGATTTCTAGGAGATATCTCCAAGTTCAACTAGCATAATAATACCCTGCTCCTTTTCTGTGAAATGTAAAATCTCTGTACATTAATTTTCTTGGAAGTCATTTCAGCCCACAAATTTCAATTTTGATCTAATGAATTTAAATAGAAATTAAAATTAATCTCTAATCAAAGAACGAACATGTTTGTCACTGCAGGTGACAGAATCACTGTAGATTTAGAGAATCTAGGTTGAGGTATATTTTTCCTGATTGCCCTTTACATTTAGGTACACACAATTACCTGCTATTGTACAAAATACTATTTTACACCAGTCATTATTAATCCAAATAATTTGGATTTAAGTAATTTCTAATTGAAAGACTATCACATTAATTGTTTATAGTGACGGACAATATACTATTATTCACTTTAAAGTTTTAAAAGTAAGTTATCAGTATCCACTTCAACCTCTGCAGAATAATAAAGGATTATTATGTGCAGTAACCTATTTATGAACAGAAAACAGTGTGCTTCTTTCAGATGCCATCAATTGCTTTAATAAGGATTTGAAAAGCTGGACTACTTTATATGCAGATCACTATCCCAGTTGCATAAGGATTTACAATAGACAAAACAAAACTATTTTTTGTTGTAAAGAAGGACTGTTTGTTTAAATCACACAATAATGTTTGCATCTAAAATTATTTGCAGGCTAATAAGGCCACATAAACATTATATAGACTTGGTTAGTTCAAAATCATTTTAATGCTAAAACCAAAACAAAAGGTTTGATCAAACTGACCAGAAAAAAGTCAAGTAACATGTCTAACTAAAGAAGGCAGAAGAAAGAGGATGCTTACTTTCTTGGTTTAGGCACTTATTAATAATTTTGGAGGTATAAATAGTGCATGATATTATAGCACCCATTGATAGCAATGAACTCAAGAGGAAAATGGTCCTGTCTCTATATGTTTGGGAAAGCACCATTTCTCTAAACATTTAGCAAAAATTTAGAAAAAGTTTGATTCTACCTTTTAATCTTAAAAGAAATTAATGTATACATTTATCTCTGCTGTCTTTAGTTTGCAGAGAATTTACTTGCGAAGTTTTAATCTCACCTGTGATGTCTTCCTTCAAGGTATTTAATGGCTCATTTGTCTTTATTAAATGAGGTGTGTGGCGGCCTCTGCTGGTGCAAGGTGCATGTAGAGGACAGAAAACTGTACTTGAACAATAATTAAATTTTAAAAAAAGAAAGAAAATGTTCAATAGGCAGAAAAATATTAATTTCAATTGAAATGTTACAAATACAGACTCTGTCATTTAAATATACAAAAATATCTAATTTAATGCAGAAAATATATTACAAGTTGTGTACTATACTCTTAGATTGGGAAAAAAAATCTAAAATATTGACCATGTCAGTGTAAAATAATGACTTACAAAGGGCATTAATTGTTCAATTCACTCTGATATTGGGTTAAATATATTTTATTAATGAATTACTAAGCCAGACTGAGAAAGATTATTACCTCTAGTCCACTGTTAAGTCCCCTTAGTTGACCAAAATAAAATCACTTAGAACAAATTCAGTGGAAAGGAAATATTTTACAGTTAAATCTATAAAGTCTTAGAATTAGAATAATTTGATGACAGGCTGGTATCTATAACTCAAGCAAATTGTACATTGACTTAATATAGCTGACATTATTATCTACTTTACAGTGTTTTAATTTCAAAAAATACAACACATTAGAATATGTTCAATTTATTGAAGCTAAAAGCAACATTTAAGTAACGTACTTAAAGTGCAAAGGCACTTTAACATAAAGAATTGATGCCTAGTGGCTATACTTGGTAACTGAAGATCGAAATACCATATATCATTATTTACAAAAGAATTTATAGTCTCAAAAGATCTTTGGAGATCTTCTACAAAATACACTAAATACTCATTTTTATTTGAAAACTTTGCTTACTCTTTCTTCATTCACTATAATCTCCTCTTCCCACTCCCCACTGGAAAAAGAAAAAAGAAATGAAACCATAAACAAAATATATGAAAAACTTCATTGTAGAAACATTTATGTTGAATGATGATTCCTAAGGAGAGAATGAAAAAATTAGGGGTGGGTGGGCAGGAGAAAAATAATTTAAAGGAAAGCTTGAAAAAAAAGTATAATTGCTTCACCCTATCACCAATCATTTTCCAAGTTCCCCACTGATGGCTGGGAAAGGGAGACCACAAACTGGAAAACAAACACAATGTTTCCAACAGTTTGGAGCAGCATCCTTTGATGCCATAGAATTGTAAACGATTTCCCTTCACAGATGACTGATTGCAGTTTGTTTTTCCAGAACTTCGAGGTAGTCTGGTTCTGATTGAGGCTTAGCTTGCAGTAAAGGGTGGTTGGGTTTTGACTGCCCCACAAAGCATTTCCTGGGAGTTCCATATAAAACGGTTTTATTGATTCTGTCTTGGTTTTGGCGTCGAGATTCATATGATGGGGCAAACTGCTTTTTAGGTAAGGTACAAAAGTTATAGTGGACTAGTCCTGCACTGGGGAGTTCCTTAACACGCTCAATAATATTCTGATACAGCAACTCTGGCTCTCTGGGTGTGGTCTGCTTTTCTAGCAACTCATTGGCACTTATAGTGTAAGCTGCCTCCTCCTCTTTTTTCTCTTCCAGGTTGCCATAGCTGAATTCTTGCAAGTTTCGATAATAGGCTACTGGGTCTCCATCCTTCTGCATGTAGATGGGGTTTTGGCACATCTGCCCCACAGGTGGGGGGATGTAGTTATAGACGTGGCCATCCATTTTATCTTGAGTCTCACTGTTGTAAGACCCATACTGTAACTGAAAGGAACTTAAATCTAAGTTGTTGGCAGTCCTCGGAACACTTGGCACCCCCTTTCGGCGTTTCAGTACAAAGACAAATAAACCTGCCCCAAAACAGACAGATAAAATAAAGACAACAAGCAATCCTAAAATTAAAATGGAAAGTGGAACTTCAGTGTGTAATTCAGGATAGGAACTGGGAGATACACTAAGCAACCGAGGTGTGTTTGTGTTGTGATTCGCTGATAGAATGGTTCCATCTGACAAGTTCGGACTGTCTGGACAGATAGCCTCCCTCCCCAGAAACTTCAGGATCTCCCCTGCATGCTTAGCCGGAGACTCACAGGTCACCTCATTGATGATGACAGGAGAATTAGCATGTTCTGTCCAGTCCTTTAGCCCCATGATGTCACAGGTGCAGTCCCATGGGTTCTCTTGCAGATCTATCTGGATAAAAGCTGGGAGCTGATCCAGAACCCCTTTCACAGGCAGGTGAGAAAAATGGTTATTTCTCAGATTCAACCTGGTGAGAGCCGTGCCCCCAAATATGTTATCAGGTAAGGACCTAAGAAGGTTGTTATTCAAAAACAGTAGCTGTAAGTTAATCAAAGCATCGAAGGTCAGCGGTTTGATTTCCTTAATAACATTATACTCTAAATAGAGATACTGCAAGCTGTGCAGTCCATCAAACATGGAAGGGTACAGCACTTCAAGGTAATTTCCATTCAGATAAAGTCTGCGTAAACTGGTCAGGTTTGTGAAGGCACCTTCCTGAATGACTGCAATCCTGTTGTTTCCTAAATGTAACAAATCCAAAGAACTATAATCTAAGAGGTCTTTCTTATAGACAGCTTGAAGATAGTTCCCTGTCAGATAGAGTTTTTTTGGACTGGTAGGTTTGGGCTGCAAGTCAGATATATTAGTGAACTTTCTTTCTTGGCAGTTTACATTTAGACCACTGTCTGAGCTCTGAGAGGTGCACACGCAGCTACTGGGGCAGGTTAGGGGCACAGGGGATTTGGTCTGGTACACCATGATCGGGCCAAAGCTCTGCCTGTCCTTAGACACAGTGACCCGAGGAGTTGGACGATTTCTCATTTTGGGTGGTCGGCTGGCTTTTGGAGCCCTGGTTGGGTTGAGAGCAGGATTCACTGTAGGCAACAGCCTTTGGATGTGTATATCAACATGGCTGCCCCTCTGACTGGAATCACCAGTACTTTTTCTGGGACAGAGGTCTTGCCTGGTCAGTTGAGTCACATCTTTCCCATGCAATCTAAAGGGAGTTTCACAAACAATCTCCCCCACAAAAACAGTTATGGTGTCCAGCCAAGCCTTGAGAGGAAGTAGGTCACAAGTGCAGTTCCATGGATTTTCCTCCAGCTGAATCTCCATGATCCCTCCAATATGTTCAAGGACACCTGCAAAAGGCATTACTTTCAGCCTATTTCCTCTCAGATCTAAGTGGGTCAGCAGGACAAACCGGAACACATTGCTGGGCAGTGACAGCAGAAGGTTGTCATTCAGGATGAGTACTTTGAGCTTATTCAGTTTGCTGAATGCTCCTGCCTCGATTGCACTGATATAATTGTAGTCAGCCTGGAGATACTCCAGGCTTTCCAAGCCCACAAAGGTGTCCTCCCTCAGCACCTCCAGCTTGTTGTTGTTAAGGTGTAGTCTCTTGAGCATTTTCAGGCCACTGAATGCCCCAGTTCGGATCTCCAGCAGCCCATTGTTACCTAGATGGAGAGTCACTGCATTGGAGTAATTGACAAACTCGTTGGAGTACAGTCTTGTCAAAAGGTTTCCATTGAGGAAAAGCTGGTAGATTCGATACTGGGGTGGTTGGAGCAGGCTGACAGTTGTAAATCCTTTGTTTTCACAATTAATATTCAGTACGTTTTCCTTCTCTTCGCACAGGCAGCGGATCTTGCAAATGTCTTTGGCAGTTTTGCGACTCTCTGCCTGTAAGAACCCGGCCACGGTTAACACGCTGATGAACCAAACGCTGCTCAGCATCTTTAGGCACCGTCGGTGTCAGCTCAGGTACCTAAGGGCAAACCTTGGTGGGGGGTGGAGCAAGATAGAGCAGGGTGTGGGGAGAAAGAAACAAGGAGTCCCAATTAAAATGGCAAAGCAAGGGGGCAGAGTGGGAGAGAGGGAGAATGCCGGAAATCACTGCATTTTGCAAAGTGGTTTCTTCTATCACTGCCCTCATACCCTCCACAGCCCCCCCCCTCACGTCCTTGAAACTCATGCTTGCACTGCATTTCCCAGAGGGTCGCAGCCAGCCGAGGATTCATTGGTAACCAAATTGCCCTATTAAATCCATCCCATGTCCTCCTCCCCTGTGGTATCTTGAAGAGATCTCAGGCTGATTGACTGCCCTGAGCTCACAGCAAAAAGCCTACTAAGCTTTACTTTTTTATCTTTGTTAACTGCACAGAAATGGGGTTGGAAAATCAGGGTACTGGCGGCGGAAGAGGGGGAGAATGGAAAAGCAAAGTTGGCCGAGCGCGGGGCATACTCACACATCAGGAGAAGACAGGACCCTTCTGGTCTGCAGTCTGCCAGCAGTCTAACATCTTCAGAAAAAAAGGGAGAGCTAGGTAAAAGAAGATGCCGCTTCCAGGGGAGGTGCCCTGCTTTTAGTTGTTTGATTTAATTTAGCTGGAGAATGTGCAGAAATAACAAATCTGGCAGGCAATAGGAGAGAAGAAGAGGGTTGAAGCTGGAGGAAGTTAAGCCCACATGGACCTGGGGGTTCGATTAATAGGAAGGTCCCAGAGCCATCCGTCCGGGTTGGCAGGTGGCGATTATGGACAAGCCTTGAGGCGCACTTCCAATCCGGTGGCAGCGGTAGCAGTGAGCTTAACAGTTTAAATTTGAGAGACTTTGAAGGCTCCTCCAGATAAGGTGAGGGTGATGTCAGGGGCGGAGGGGGCAGGCAGTGGATAGAGGACTAGCTCTTGGGGAAGGAGGGGCAGGTGTTTCCCTTTCTTGCCAGTAGCTTTGCAAAGCTCAAATCCGGCTCTGTCAGTTGACTCTGAACTATTTCACCCCCAAAGCTGTGGGCAGTTGAGCACTAAGCAAGGTTCCTGGAGACAGGTTCTCCAAGACAGACCCCGCTAAGGGGCTAGCACCCTTTTAGTAGTTTCTTCCACCTACCCCTCCCTCCTGGCCATCCATTCCAGGAGGTTCTCATTCCAGATTCCTAAGCTGGGATCCAGGTCTCTCTCTCTCTCTCTCTCTCTCTCTCTCTCTGTGTGTGTGTGTGTGTGTGTGTGTGTGTGTGTAAATGTCTCTTTTGCTACAGGACTAGGGCCCGCATGCCATTCTCCTAGCTCAAATGCTCTTGGTGTTAGGGTGGGGCGTGTGCAGTGGAGCAGTGTGTCTATGTAGGAGGAGGAGGAAGAGCTCTCCTGGGGGATGCATGATTTACATAGAGAGCTTTGTTTCAGTGTTTAGAGAATTACTTTCTGGGTGGTGAATGGCCAGATATTTGCCTGGATTCAGAAAGCCAGCTCCACATTAGCTTATGGACTGAGATAAGCAACAAAACCCTTCTCCTCCTGAGGTTTACACTAGTCAGAAAATGAGGTTTAAACATGTGCTTTTTGCCTGAAGGAAGGAGAAAAAGAGTGTGTATCACAAAGGCACTGCCAGGCTGAGCCTCAGCTGGAATGGGAGCCCACAGACAGGTGCCTAAGTACTCCAGGCAGGGAGCAAGAAGCTAGGACAACCGAGGACAGCAATGCAGGAAGACTGGCTCCTAAGAAAGAGAGGAGAGATGAGTGGAGTGTAGCCTGAGACCCAGTAGACCTGGATTCTGATCTACCTCTATTGCCAAGTTTATGACTTATTTCTGTATCTTCCTGTTCCCACTGGCAAATGGGGTGGATTATTGAGACCCTTTCAGTTCTGACATTCAATTGACTTCATATAGCTTTTCCAAAGAATTATTAATGACCAAGTGTTGGGTTTTGCCTTCAATATATTATTTCTTCTTTGTAATCTTAAACTGTCCTAGGAGTCTCCCAATGTGGAGTCCATTTGCAGGATTGGAATGTCTACTGTTGCTCAGAATTGCTGTGGGCTATCTCTGGGGTGGGGTTGGGGAAATAAGTCAGGAACAGGAGGGAATGAAAGAAGAGTAGGAAAAGGAATTGACCACCACATGTGCCTATACCAAAAAACACCTCAGCTTCTTTTCCCTGTTTTCAGTCCCAGCCAGTTGCTGATGGAGTCAACACAGGGTTCCATTGTTGAGCCAAATTCCAAATAGAAACAATCCCACAGGTGAAAAGAACATCTGAAAAGGGAAAGCTGCCATTTCTCCCCTCATCCTTTTTTACTAAGCTCAGATTCTAAGATTGTTTGCCCTTCACCCCCAAGAAGGGCTGGGAGCAGTTTATAAACATAGGCACTAAGGCAACCTGTAGCTCTGACAGTTTCCTCCCAATTTTTTCTCAGGCTTTCCCCCTCTTTTTCCTTTGGGAAGAGCCTTGAACCAGACATCAGGAGCCTCCTCCTAATGTGCAATATTTGCTTGCTGTTGGGCGAGATACTTTCCTTCTGGGGCTTCAAATTGTCTTTATGTCAAAGGATGACATTGAGGTGAGCTGTCCTGTGGGGGTTAGCCCCCACTCTATTGGAATTGCATTATTAGATGCAAGTAAAATGATGTGGTGCAACAATGATTAAGTGTCCTTTCATGAACAAGAGACATTTGTTTCTAAATATTTGCAAATATTATATATATATATATATATATATTCTAGAGAGATATGATGTGTTCACTCCATTGTTTAGTTAACAAACATGTACTAATTAGGTTAATATTTTATGTAAGTAGAAGCCAACATGAAAACTGGACAAAACCTCTGAAATTAGATTTATTTTATAGATGAGGACATTCTTCAACCTGAAGAAGTGCTGACTTGCATAAGTTCAATAATATAAAATTAGAAACAACCCAGGAATGATGAGTTCCAGTCAAGCATCTCTCCAAAAAGCTCACTTCTGCTTAGGGTGAATCAGAAAATAATTACTTAAACTCAAATAGTGGTGGTGGTGTTTTACCTAAATGTATTATTTTTCAAAATTTGTATTTAAAAGTGAAATAGCAAATATTAGTTTTAGTTTTCAAATATACTAATATCCTTCAAGACAATAATAACACTTCCAATACTTCTTGAAAACAGTCCTTTTTTAGGAGTTTTGGAGAGTGGAGGTGTATTAGATTGGGGGAACTGGGGCACTTGAAATCCTTGACAATTATAGTAAAGGAAATGCGGCGGTAAACTAGCCACAAGGAACTACAGGGGGAACCTGCGGTAATGGGGCAGATATTCCTTCCATGGACCCTCCCGCCACCCCTTCCTCTACTGCACGTCTCGGAGCTTCCCCAAGGGCTTTCCCAAATGTGCTTATTGGGACCAAATCAGCCTCAACCTAGATAAAACACTTTCAGCTGTCCTCGTGTTTCAGGGAAGAACGGCCGCAGTGCCGTGCTAGAGAGGATGAGTTTTAAGGCGTTGGGAAGGTGAACTGGAAGCCCTTGAGAGGAAAACAGGGAGGCTAAAATAATGGAAACACCCCCTCTCCTCACAGGAGCAGGGAGGAAAATACCGACTAGGTGGCCTCAGTCTCACTAGCATCTAACCGAGTAAAGTCTGGCACCAGTCGCCCAAGCTTTCCCAGGGTGCTATAGGTTCGGCGGGCGGGCAATTTGTTTCCATGCTGCCGCCAGGCAAGCCGTGAAGGGGTTAATAAGATTCCCTAAACCTGCAGTGTGTGTGTGTGTGTGTGTGTGTGTGTGTGTGTACGCGCGGGCGCGCGCGCGCCACAGAGAGAGACAGAGAGACAGAGAGACAGAGAGAGAGTGTTCCGCCCTAAGCTGACTTCTCTACATCCCCTCGCACCACCCGCAATCTCGGGCAAATGCCATTCCCCTAGGACTCTTCCAAGACCACCCAAGAGGTTGAGAAATAGCTCGTCACGTCACCCGAGCTGGGGACCCGACCACTAGTGTAGTCCTACCTGCATTCCCCAAGACTGCTAGATGCCTGATGCTGCACGTAGGGCCCACAGCCTTGAGCACTACCCGGACTTCCCACGCTTTACAGCCCGCCGGGTGTGTGGGCCGCAACCCCCCGCAGTGATGTGCGATGCCGATGCCCTGAACGTCCTGAAGCCAAACAGCCCCAATGGGGATGGGAGGCAATATTGGCCCTAGTGAGATATCCTAGGCGGCTGGCTCTGGGTCCTCCCACACCGGTCTCTCCCTGTGGGCAGTCTGTTGCAAAGGGGGCAGGGGATCGTGGGGAGCCCGGCCGGCCTCCGCACCGGCGCTGCAGGGTTCCCAAGGGCTCAGAACTTACCCAGTGACAGTGTCTCTGGGAGCTTCCCAAGGAGGCGCCCACAGCATCCGCGACCTGGGAAGGCGACCAGGGAAGGCGACGGAGCCGACACAGCCTGAGGCCGGTGCAGGCCGCAATGGAGTACACCACTGCTAGCCCAGGCGGTGGCCCCAGCAAGCAGATTCCCACTGGAGCAGCTGCTAGCAGGAAGGAGTGAGGGAGTGGAGGGGGAGGAGTGAAGCAGAGCTGGAGGGAGCAGGAAGGGGAGGGAGGGGTGGGGGGATGGATGGACGGACGTAAAGCAGCCCCTTGCCTGCACTTAACATTCAGCTGGCAGATCGAGTGTCCCCGCTGTGCAACCGGAGGAGCATGCACCAGCCCACTGAGGAGCTGCTGCTCCTTTTCTGGACAAGCGCCACGGAGCGTCCACGCCTCTAGGCCCCTTGCAGCTTCTACCATGGTCTGAAGCTCAGATTTGGTCAAGGGAAATAAGGATGGCACTTGGTTGGTAACGAAGCCAAGGGGGAGATTAAAAACAATGGGTGGAATTAGGGGCAAGTGCAAGAGCAGTCAGAGATCCCAGAAGGATGCCTTCCTGGGATGGCTGCCTCCCTAACTAGTAAGCGCCCAATCAGTGAGGTTTGCAGGCAGACATTTAAGGACCTCCTAAGAAGATGGTCAACAAGGAATTTCCATAGAATGTGAGGGTAAGCTAAACTTCTGCCAAAGTGTTGACAAAAACAAGACCTTAGCAGTGTTCCAGTGTATGTTTTTTTTTTAATTTTAACATTTTATTTAAAAATAAAACTTCAACGAATTTTGCAAAAGGATTTGAACTGTTGTTGTTGTTATTGTTGTTGTTGTTATTCAAGCACAATTCTTTCCATTTTCCAGCTGCAACTTTCCCACCTCCTCAACACTTAAGGAAGACCTAAATCCTACCCTTCTCAGACTATTCCAAAAAAAAAATCCAAGAAGAAGGAAAACTCACAAGCTCTTTTTATGAGACCAGCATCATCCTAATCCCAAAACCAGATAAATATACAACAAAGAAAGAACACTACAGGCCAATATCACTGATGAACATAGACGCTAAATTCCTCAAGAAAATATTGGCAAACTGCACCCAGCAATACATTAAAAAGATCATACACCATGATCAGGTGGGATTCATCCCAGGGATGCAAGGATGGCACAATATTCACAAATCGATAAGCATACTACATCACATAAACAGTAGGAAAGACAAAACTCACATGATCACATCAACAGATATGAAAAATGCATTTCATATGGTTTGATTCTTTTTACTTCTCACGAAATTGCCTTGGTCTACTAGAGCATGCTATTGGTCATCCTCCTTTTCTTTTTTCTCTTAGAATAGACCAGTTGGCTGTGACTCAATTAGAGGAAGGCTCTCAGTGAAAGAATCACTGTAGTTCAAGAAGCAGGTAACCCACTCAGCAATATTTTCACTGATGTATTTCCTAGGCCAATGGATATAAAGGAAAGAATAAACAAATGGGACTATATCAAATTAAAATGTTTCTGCATGGCTAAAGAAAACATCAACAAAATGGGAAGGGAACCAACTGTATAGGAAAACATACACCTAAGACAAGGGTTTAATCTTCAAAATATATAAAGAACTCACATGACTCCACTCCAGGAAAACAAACAACCCGATTAAAAATGGGTAAAATACATAAACATACGCTCCTCCAAGAACATACAGAGGGCCCATGGACATATGAAAGGATGCTCAGTATCACTATCTATCAGAGAGATGCAAATTAAAACCACAATGACATACAATTTCACACTGGTCAGACTGACCATCATTAGCAAATCAACAACCACTGCTGGTGAGGATGATAATGTGGAGAAAAGAGGACCCTAGTACACTGCTGGTGGAAATGCACACTGGTGGAAAATAGTATGGAATTTCCTCAAAAATCTAAAAATAGAACTGCCTTTTTGTCCAGTGATCCCACTGCTGAGATTATACCCTAAGAATCCCGAAGATACCAATTCAGAAGAACCTATGCACACCCATGTTCATAGCAGCACAATTTACAATAGCCAAGTGCTGGAAACAGTCTAAGTGTCCATTAGTAAATGAGTGTATCTAAAACAGTGGTACAGTTACACAATGGAATACTACACAGCAGAAAGAAAGAAGGAGCTCCTACCCTTGACAACAACATGGATGGAGCTGGAGAGCATTATGCTAAGTGAAATAACCCAGCAACAAAAGACAAATACCATATGATCTCACCTATATGTGGAACTTAATTAATAAAACAAACAAAATAGAAACTGAGAAATGGAAATAAGGAACAAACTGAGAATGACCAGAGGGGAGGGGCAGGGAGATAATAGGGAAAGAAGGTGAAGGATTTAGTCAAGGAACATGTATAAAGGACCCAAGGACATGGACAACAGGTTGTGGATTGACTGTTGGGAGGGTAAGTGGATCAGGGGAGAGCAACAGGGGAAAAATTGGAACAATTGTAATTGAAAAATTATTTTAAAAAAAGAAGCAGGTGAGGTTTTCACGAAGAGCATTGACATTCCCTTCAAGATTTTTTGTTTCCTAGGGCCTTTTTTCTACCATCTGGATGGTATTCCAGATGAAGTTGCAGTTTATCTAAGCCAGAGAAAAGAGTTGATATCATGGTACCACGATATTTCCCCTGCAGCCCTGGAAAGGAGTGACCTTAAAGCTGTCGCCACCCATGTCCTTATCCTATCCCCTCCAGAATCGATAGGAGCCCTAATTCCTCAGGATGTCCTTAAGCTTGATGGTGGAGAATAGAAAGGGAGGCAAGAAGAGGTGTGCCAAATTTAATTTTCTTGTTAATGAAGTATTGTTTGGATTTGTCTGTTTCCATGGTTATTTCCTATACATTTAAACCAGGTTCAGAGAGCATTGACTTCCACCCTATTCTTTTCCTTACCCTGGAAAATCTTTTCTGCTTCTTACTTCTCTTCTTGGCATTCTTTTCAGGATGGTTTCATAAGCAGACCATGTTAAACCTTTGTAAAGGAAAATTACTGATGATCTTATGAACATATGCAGTTTACTTTAGTAATATTCCAAAGAATAATATTTTATACTTATATCTCTTAGGTTTTAAGGATCATTGCTGTTGATTTCATTTCATCACTGAGACAATTTTTTTTGAGATTCCCCTGCTAGTCAGATAAGCAATTTCAGAATAACACAGTTCTCACACATGTGGGCAGGCTATTTGCAGTTACATAGTCAGAAACATTTTCCTGCTTTACTAATATTCTTATTTGTGCATAGCATCTCACACCACTGTTTGCTACAGACTATAGCATGAGCCTGGGCACATGATATTATTACTAACTGCAGATGATTGATGTAGTCTGCTCTCTGTCTACCTCATTTCAGACTGTGTCATCTTTTACCATAGTTGCTTAATGGGTGCTATAAACAACCACAAAACACAGACCTAAGAGTCAATTCACAGGCAGAAATAATGACAGTCATGCTGAAAAAAGAAGACCGTTTACTGAGAAGGATGCTGTGCACCTAGCTAATGAGAACACACACAAAAGCAACAACTTGTATAGAGATAATATGAGGGACATAGCATCAATTATTTAAAAATGGTATTTTATTATGATCCAGAAGAAAACTGTATAATATTATATATATTAATTTGAATTAGCTTAATGTGTTTACCACTCCTCAGAAAAACATTTAGAAGTCTGCCTTTCTACAAGGGATATGCTGATAGAAGATAAAATGAAAAAGTGCAGACTTTTCTTTTTGTCAGCATCAGACTTGCAACTAGGTGGGTAGCTATTTTGAAGGGTGTCCTGAATGCAAACATACACAAAATGATGAGCAGTACAAAACTTTTTTGAGGGTTGTTGCATTGACAATTTCAGGACAACAGAGCTGGAAGCCTTTGAAAATTTTAACCATACAAATTTATTTAAAAGCTGCTTTATATTGGCTTTTCTAAAAGTTCTGAACATTTTCCTTGTATAACTGAATACCAAAGGCATGCATATTAATCTATTTTGGTTAATTAATAAAAATAGATCTTTCTTTTGACCCAGCAATTCCACTGCTAGGATTATATCCTAAAGAACCCTGAAACACCTCTCCAAAACAACCTATGCACCCCAATGTTCATAGCAGCACAATTTACAATAGCCAAGTGCTGGAAGCTGCCTAAGTGCCCATCAGCAAATGAATGGGTCAAAAAACAATGATACATTTACACAATGGAATTCTATGTAGCAGAAAGAAAGAAGGAGCTCTTACCATTTGCAACAGCATGGATAAAACTGGAAAACATTATGCTGAGCAAAATAAGCCAGGTGGTGAAAGACAAATACCATATGATGTCTGTCATCTTTAATAGGAACCTAATCAACAAAACAAACAAGCAAAATATAACCAAAGACACTGAAATTGGGAACAGGCTGACAGTGACCAGAGGAGAGAAGGGAGGGAATTTCAGGGGAAAGAGGGAAGGGCTTACAGAAACAAGTGTAAAGGACACATGGACAGAAAAAAGGGGGATGTGGAAACAGGAGGGAGGTGAGGAGGGCTAGGGGGTGGGCTGGGATGGGAGTAAAAGGCAGAAAATTGTACTTGAACAACAATTAAAATAAAATAAAATAATAAAATATAAAATAAATTTAATGACACCATCTTTAAAAAGTGGCATGATTAATTCTTTGGTGTAGTGGAATTGTAAATGCATCTCCATATTTGTGCGCTGTTCTCTATTGATTATTTTATATCATTAAAGGGCTTAGAAATTCATGATTGCGATGCTAGTGGGGACAAAAAGAAATAAAATGAAAATTTACTTGTGATTTTATAGTTTTATTCTCAGATTAGGAGAAAATAAGGTATCTCATCTGGCTCAATTTTTAAAAAGACATGTGCACACATTTCTAAGATGATGGAAATGTTCCCCAATTACTATAGAGTACATCATTTGCTGGGAATGTTTTTCTCCACCTTTCCACACCTATCCAGAACTGAAATTTAAAAAAAATAAACAAAAAATAATACAAAGTGGAAATGTGATGTAGAATCAGAAGTTCTAAGACATATAGTAGGAGTTTTCAGGGATTATTGTCTGTTTTGAACCAAAGATTTCAAGGAAGAGTTCAGACAGACACACAAATTTCTAAATAAATAAATGCAACACAAAGGGCATGTCATTAAGACCAGTAAATATAGTTTAAAGGTATTGTAGGCTTTGGTTCTGCCATGCTATTGAAAGTGTAGATAT